CTCGCCTCCGAAATCAAGAGCTTCGGCGGCATGGTCATCGCCGCCACCGACCTCCTCGCCCTCACCATGATCCGCCCGCCCGGCGAGTGGGGCGCCGACATTGCGCTCGGCAACGCAGCCCGCTTCGGCGTGCCTCCCGGCTTTGGCGGCCCGCACGCCGCCTTCTTCGCCGTGCGCGACTCGATCAAGCGCAAGATCCCCGGCCGCCTCGTCGGCCTCTCCAAGGACACCCGCGGCGGACCCGCCTACCGCCTGGCGCTCCAGACGCGCGAGCAGCACATCCGTCGTGAAAAGGCCACCTCCAACATCTGCACCGCCCAGGCGCTCCTCGCCAACATGTCCGCCATGTACGCCGTCTACCACGGCCCGGACGGCCTTCGCAAGATCGCCGCCAAGGTGCACGCCCTCACCCGCCTCCTCAAGCACGAGCTCACCGAGCTCGGCCTCCGCGTCGTCAATCGCGACGGCGCCTTCTTCGACACGCTCACCATCGACCTCGCCAAGGCTGGCGTCGGCGCCGTGCGCGTCCACGAGGAGGCCAAAAAGGCGCGCATCAACCTGCGCAGGATCAGCGACACCCGCGTCGGCATCACGCTCGACGAGACCGTCAGCATCGAGGAGCTCACCGACCTGCTCAATGTCTTTGCCTACGCCACCAAGAACACAAGGACCGGCGAGGTGCCCTACAAGCCCCAAGACCTCCTCGCCATCGCTCAGCGCATCGGCCTCGACGCCTCCTCCACCCAGTCGCTCACCATCTCCTCGCCCGTCGCCACCGCCACCCCGGCCAAGGACGCCGCTCCCGTTCCCGACTTCAGCCGCAAGTCCAAGTTCCTCCAGCAGCCCGTCTTCTCGGCCCACCGCTCCGAGACGCAGATGCTGCGCTACATCCACTCGCTCCAGGCCAAGGACCTCTCGCTCGTCCACGCCATGATCCCGCTCGGCTCGTGCACCATGAAGCTCAACTCCACCTCGAGCATGATGCTCATCTCCAAGCCCGAGTTCTCGCAGCTCCACCCCTTTGCGCCCGAGGACCAGGCGCAGGGCTACGACGTGCTCATCCGCGAGCTCGAGCGCGACCTCTGCACCATCACCGGCTTCCCCGCCGTCTCGCTGCAGCCCAACTCGGGCGCCCAGGGCGAGTTTGCCGGGCTGTCGGTCATCCGCGCCTACCACGAGTCCAAGGGCGAGGGCAAGCGCGACGTCTGCCTCATCCCCACCTCGGCCCACGGCACCAATCCCGCCTCGGCCATCATGGCCGGCATGCGCGTCGTGCCCGTCAAGACCAAGCAGGACGGCGCCATCGACCTCGACGACCTGCGCGCCAAGGCCGAGCAGCACAAGCACGAGCTCGCCGCCACCATGATCACCGAGCCCGCCACCACGGGCTGCTACTTTAAGGACATCCAGGAGGCCTTCCAGATCGTGCACGACAACGGCGGTCAGGTGTACCTCGACGGCGCCAACCTGCAGGCGCAGGTGGCGCTCACCAACCCGGCCATCATGGGCGCCGACGTGACGCATCTCAACCTGCACAAGACGTTTTCCATTCCGCACGGCGGCGGAGGTCCCGGTGTGGGCCCCATCTGCGTCGCCGAGCATCTGGCGCCGTTCCTGCCCGGCCACCCGCTGGCGTCGACGGGCGGCGAGATGGCCATCGACCCCATCTCGGCGGCGCCCTGGGGATCCGCCTCGATCCTCACCATCGCCTGGGCGTACATCAAGATGCTCGGATGGAGCGGCCTCAAGAAGTCGACCGAGACGTCGCTGCTGGCGGCCAACTATGTGGCGCACCGGCTCAAGGACCACTACAAGCTCAAGTACACCGGCGACCGCGGCCGCGTGGCGCACGAGCTGCTGATCGACGTCGCCGAGTTCGAGGATGTCGGCCTGAAGGTGATGGACTTTGCCAAGCGTCTGATCGACTATGGCTTCCATCCGCCCACGTGCTCGTGGCCGATTTCGACGGGTCTGCTGATTGAGATCACCGAGTCCGAGTCGCTGCAGGAGATCGACCGGCTGGTGGAGGCGTTCATCTCGATCCGCCAGGAGGTGGATGAGATCCGCGCGGGCAAGATGCCGCGCGACAACAACCTGCTCAAGAACGCGCCGCACACGATGCACGATGTGGCCGACGCCGAGTGGGACCGCCCCTACTCGCGCGAGCGCGCCGTGTACCCCGTGCCCGAGCTGCGCAAGACCAAGTTCTGGCCGCCCGTCAACCGCATCGACGACGCCTACGGCGACCGCATGCTCGTCTGCGAGTGTGGCGGCGTCGAGGACTACGTCAACTAGGTTTTGGCACACACACACACACACAGAGACACCTCAACCGTGTCCACTCTTTTCTCCTCCGTGATAATTCGCTAGATTCCGTCCCTAGGTCAACATACGCAACGGTTTTCAACACTGCACCGTCCCCTTTCTTCCCTGTTTTGTCTTGAACCGCAATGATCCATGCTGCATTCCAACTGTAGATTCATGCCGAGCTTTTCGCCGCTCCGTTTGGGTGCGCGGCAATGATGGGCGAGATTGCGAGATTGCGATGGGGAATGTCAAAGCTGGCGGAGGGGACCAAGGCGAGTGAGTGCCTTATCGGGCCTCGATTCGATCGGGATAGCATGGCGTTGAGTTCGAGTGAAATCGGAGTGGAGTTGGGCGCGGAGGAGATGGCCCATGCTCTCGACTGCACACTCCACGCCCACCAAAAGAGTCCCCAGGCAACGAGCGCAAACCAGCAAGGAGCGGAAATTGCGATTTGGGCGGCGCATCACAGGGGGGGCCTGCATTCACAACTGCTGAGCCGGACGCGCATCTTGACCTCCTTCCACTTGCACATCCCCCCTCGCGCGCTTATCTACAACCGCATTTCGCATCTCCTTTCGCCAGCATGTCGTCGGGCAAAGGACAGAGGGAGGCGGTGTTCCCCACGCGCCAGGCGCTCGGCAGCACCAAGACGCGCCTCAAGGGCGCACAGACCGGCCACTCGCTGCTCAAGAAGAAGGCGGATGCGCTCACCAAGCGATTCCGCACCATCACGCACAAGATCGACGAGGCCAAGCGCAAGATGGGCAAGGTGATGCAGCAGGCGTCGTTCAGCCTCGCCGAGGTGCAGTACGCCACGGGCGATATCGGCTACATTGTACAGGAGAGCGTCAAGTCGGCGAGCTTCAAGGTCCGCGCCAAGCAGGAAAACGTATCGGGCGTGTTGCTGCCTGCGTTCGAAGCGGACATCCAACAGAAATCCAACGGCGCCTCGGGCAGTGGGGGTGAATTCGCCCTGACTGGTCTGAGTCGTGGTGGTCAACAGGTGAACAAGGCGCGCGAGGTGTACACCAAGGCACTCAAGGTTCTTGTCGAGTTGGCCAGTCTGCAGACGGCGTTCGTGATCCTCGACGAGGTGATCCGCATGACCAACCGTCGTGTGAATGCGATCGAGCACGTCATCATCCCGCGCCTGGAGAATACGATCAGCTACATTGTCTCGGAACTCGACGAGGCCGATCGCGAGGAGTTCTTCCGCCTCAAAAAGGTGCAGGCCAAGAAGAAGGAGAAGGCGGCCGCCGGCGATCGCGAGCGCGCCAACATGCAGAAGAAACTCGCTGGCGACGAGACCGACGACGATGACGACGACGACGCCGAGAACCAGGACAGCCCTGAGGCCGAGGCCGACGATAAGCCGGCGGATGCGGCTGCAGAGGCCACGACGGGAGCCAAGAAGAAGAAAAAGAAGAAGAACAAGTCGGCCGCCAACACCAACACCGACGACGATCAGAGAAGCAAGGATCTGCTTTCGGGCGGAAAGGACGAGGACGTCATCTTCTAAATGCGCCCGCTGTCTCGTATTCTTGTCTTTGCACTTTCATCCACGCTTCTTTCCGTTCAATTCAAGCCACGCATTGCAGCCTTGTTTTGAGATTGCGCGTGCGTCTTATGTCCAGCAGGCGCCGATGAGGAGCGAGAGTGCGGCGCCTACGACGACGCCGAGGGTGGAGGCGAAGACGAGGCGTTCCTCTTGGTGCTTGCGCGTGCGAATCTGGCTAGCCGCTTCATCTGTCGCCTGCACCTCGACTGGCGCGGGGGGTAGAGCCTCGACGGGGAGATTGTCGGGCTCAACAGCAGGGGATGGTGGTGGGGTGAGGGCGGTGTCGAGCGAGTGTTGGAAGCGCTCTACGCTGGCGAGGATGAGCTGTCTCGACTCGTGTTCGGCCGCTACGAGGCGCGACTCGAAGGTCTGTGCGAGCTTCTTACGCTTGTACGGCTCCACGAGTAAGATGGCGAGGATGAACAAAAAGGCGTTGAGACCGGCGACGATCAAGCTTCCGTACGTGCTCATGCCACGCATCCTATCGGACCACAGCTGTTCTTCGTGATAGCGCACCATGACTGCCTTCATCATGCTATCGAATGCCTTTTGCACCTCGGCTTCCGTCTGCTCGAGCCTCTTTTCCGCCTCGCCTTCGTGCTTGCTCATCGTATGTTCCGCACGCAGCAGCTGCGTGTATCGACTGAGGTCCGATTCGGTCCAGGAGTGCTTGCGCGATAGCAAGCCATTCGTCTCGCGCTGAGATGCACTTCGACTCTGCACGGAATCGAGGTAGTCCCGCTTGGCCTGGGCGGCAAGCGTGCGCTTCGAGTCGAGGTCCGATTCGAGCAGTGTGATTTGCTGCTTGAGCGACTCGATCGCCGCATAGCCAGAGTAGGTGTTGTACTGCGCCGCCAGCGTCGACAGCCGACTGCGCATGTCGGAGGCCAGTGCGCGTGTGCGTTGGCTCGCCGCTGAAACGGCAGAGGATAGCGACGCAGAGGACGTGAGCGCGTCCAAGGTTGGGAGCGAGGAGGCGAGACCGCGCAGACGCGATTGCAGGTCTGGCGGCGAGTCAGCATCACCCTGCTTGCGCGCAGTCGAGCAAGGTCGCTGCGAGGGCTCGGAATATTGGGACGCAGAACGCGTCGCTATTGTCGGTGCCTCGTCCTGTGGTGTATGCGCAAACGAGACCTGCTCGGGATCAGACTCTCTGCCCGATGGGCGGTCCTCGTCCTTGTCTTGCGGCCTTGGACTTGGGTTTCCGGCGCTGCTTGACGAAGGAGCTTCCCTTGAAGGGTCTGCGAGTGAAGTCTTCGACGAGCTCGTGAAGCTCCTCCATTCTGGACGACGCCATGCTGTTCGGTTGGCGAATGGGAGTATCGACGAGCGAGCCGTCGGTGCGAAGCTGGGCGTGACAGTGCGCCCGGCGCTGCGAGACGGCGCCGCTGCTACCTCCACCGTGCATCGGACCAGCGGACCTAGAGCACCGCGCACGAAGGGCCGGGCCATGACGAGGAGAATGCCTTTGCGGATGTGATGAGTGCAGCTGAGTGGAGAGTGTCAGACAGCCCCCCAGCCTTTGGATAATGCCAACGAGAAGAGCGGCAGCCGAAGTGTCACTTTTGCTCGCCCGATCGCCGCGTTGTCATCGGGATCGCCTGCCGATGCCATTTACGCGTCGGCTGAGCCCCCAAAGCGACGCGCCTCGGAAAGGCTCAGTTGTCCCCACCAAAACCAACACTTTGGCCCTCGCGCACTGTTGCCTCTCTTCCGCACCCTCGCGCACCTGCACCGCGTCTCTACCATCCTCGACTCTACTCTTTGCCTCCCATCCTTGATTGGCCTCGCACGCATCGGACAATGGAGAAGCCTACGCCGATGATCAACTCGGCCATGCTGGCGCAGCACGCTGGGCAGACGGTGCGCATCGTAGGCAAGGTGCAGAAGCTCACCGGCCAGACGCTGCTCATCCAGACGTCCGACATGGGCAACGTCGAGGTGGCGCTCAACCCGGACTCGGAGATCTCGGGCAGCACCTTCGTCGAGATCACGGGCAAAGTGTCCGAAGGCGGGTCCGGGCTGGATGGCCACCTTGTGCGCGAATTCACCACCGTCGATTGCGGCGAGAACGTCGGTATGTACAACAGACGTGCGGACGGAGCAACAAAAAAGGACGGCTTGCTGATACTACGGTGTGTGTGCAGATATGGAGCTTGTGGAGAAGACCGTTCAGCTCTCGAACAAGTTCCCCAACCTCTTCTCCGACTCGACCTAGCCTAACCGCCCTTTCATCATGTACAAAAGCCCCCCAGCATCCGGTCAATCTCATCATTCTCAATCCGCCCTGGTCCCGAAAGCACAGACGTGGATGTCCTTTTGGAATGTCGACTCATTGCAGTCGTGCTTTTCTAGGCGGGGAACGTGGTCACGCACGACGCACACTGCCCAGGCGCGTATCCCAACTGGCCTTGTCCACGGGTGCATGCTGGCGTGCCTTGAGCGAGGCAACGTACGCTACTCCGCGCGAGAGCTCCAGCCAGGGTTCGGTGCCCGCCACATAGCGCGCGCCGAGCAGTGCAAACGCCTTCTTCTCCGCCACGGCTGCAAAGTGGCTCGAGGCAATGGCTACACGCACGCTCCAGGGCTGCGCCTCGTGCGGTCCTGCTGCGGCGATCGTGATGTCAAACGCACGCAGCGTCTCGAGTGTCTGCTCGCGATCCGCGCCCGATACGGCCAGATGCGAATCCAGGATGAAGTTCAAGTGTCGCGCGCGTACGCCCTGCAAATTCAGCGGCTGTTGGGCTGCAAAGAAGGCGTCGAATGCGTCGATGGAGCTGACGCCCCACCGGCGGCCTGCGATGCTGCCGACCAACAGCGCGAGTCGCGAGGGTGTGTAAAGCATCAGATCCACATAGACGCCGTACGAGCGTGTCGAGAGCACGAGCGTGCGCTGCGTGCATCCGGATTTCGACGACGCTACAGCTATGCCCGGATCCGCCGGATCGGTCGACCGGATCGTCACGCTCCATGCCTCACCCTGCTGCTCGAGCTCGTGCAGGCGCCGCTCAACGAGCGCATGTACGTACGACTTGGCCACCGTCTCTGCCCAGCCCGGCTCGGGATACACCAGTCCCCCACTCGCGTCGCTGCCGCCGTTCGCTTTTCGGTGCGGCTCGATGCGGTTGTGCGGCGGAGGCAGACCGGTGCCATCGTACGCATCGGCATCGGCACCGACAGCCTCGGAGAGCTGCACCATATCGGGCCTTCCAAACGCGTCGAGCCGCTTGGCAAAATGCAGCTTGCCTGCCTGCCAGAGGATCCTGGCGAAGGTGAGAAAGAGGTCGACGGGCTGACGCATCAATGCCGCGTACAGTGTAGCCGACGATAGCGGGCGCACACGTCGGCCCGTCCGTCTCGCTGCGTCGGCACCGCCCTTTGCGCTTGCAGGAGCGGGCGCGATCGAGTCGAGTGTGGCCATGAGCTTCTTGACGAGCCGAGGAGAGCTTGGCCCATGATCGTTGCCAGCGCGGTTTTCTTCCTCGACGAGGAGGAGGAGGCGGATGCCGAGCGCAAAAGTCTGTGGCTCAGCCTGGCTGCTTGCGTCTGCGTCGGCTGCAAACGGCTCCTTGAGGAAGAGTCGATAGTAGCCGCCGCGATCGTTGAACGGCGAGACGTGGAACGAGCGCGGGAAAGTCCACTGATGATCACAGCCGCCGCGCTTGGCCGTGGAGGAGCTTTGGACGGCCTGCAAAACTTCGGCGCCGTCCTCGTTGGTGCCGGCTTCGAGCACGTAGATGTGACGCTCGCTGAACGTGTTGTGCACCTCCAACACGACCAACCAAAATTCTCCTCGCTTGTCGTCCGTGGTGGCGCGCAAGGAAGAACGGTGCGTTTCGTCTCCGAAGCCATGCGGCCGATAGCAGTAGTGAACGGTGAGCGGGTTGATGCCCGTGATGCCTGCGACGCTCGGCATGGTGACTGTCCATACGTGGCCGAGCTCGCTGCGCCAGTGGGCACCTGTGGTCTCGGAGTCTTGCGGACCGACCGAGAGGAAGCCGCGCTGGCGCAGCTCGTATGCAAGCTTGAGCAGCACCGAGCCGGAAATCCATGCTGCTTTGGCGGTATCCGATTCGGCAGCGGGCGTGTTCGGAGCGGACGCTGCGAGCGGGATCTGGGTGCGCAGGTACGAGCTGGGGCGGAGGCCGGTGAGCGACCAAGTATTCCGGTCGTTGCGAGCGCGCTTCTCCTCGAGTCTTCGTCGCTCGATGCGTTCAGCTGCACGCATCTTGGCCTTCCACTCCGTCTTCTGGTCGACCGCATCTGCTGTGTCGGTGTGCGGGGCGGTGTCGTGCGAGTGGCCGGCGGGAGTGACGCCACGACGATCTGCGAGCGCGGCATGGTCGACGAATTCGGGCTCGAGCACGGGTCCCTTCCAGGCGAAAGCATGGCCGGCATCCAGCTTGCGCGTCTCGAGCTGGTCGAGCCGGAGGGCGAGGTAGAGCGTGTTGTAGCGGAAGGCATGTTTGGACTCGACGGGCAGGAAGCGCGCATGGCGCGTCTCGGCAGGCACCACCCATGCTGCTGTGCCGTACGTAGCGCGAGGTGTGAAGAAGCGTTCGAGCAGCGATGGAAGACGCTGCACCAGCCAGATGCCTAGAAGAACATACAGCGGGATAGCCTTGCGAGATAAGAGCCAGTCGCTGCTCAGCCAAGCCGACAAGCTGGACGCCTCGCCCAAGCCAGCCCGCCACGCCGTCGCTGCTCGGTTGCCGAGCGACGATGCGTTGGTCATCGCGACAGTATGTATCGATGGCGGTTTAGCGTTTCGAGAGCTGCATGGCTGTATGCAGCTGCTGGGTTGCTTTGGAGTGTGGTGGAGGGTGGAGAAGGATGGTGAGGGTCGAGCGTTGAAAGAGCAGCGCCGCCTCCACAACATCAGCTCCTCGCTCTAACACCGTCCCTTTTTTTGGCCCGATTCAGGGTCCATTCGGTGACTTCAAATGAACGCTTTTCTTCCCGGTTCACCTTGCACCTCTCCCTCACTGCCTCACTGCCTCTCATCGTCACATCATGACTGCAGTGCATGCTGGCGCAGAGCTTCAAGTAGGAATGAAGACGTCGGCTGCTGAGCATGGCATCAATGCGCTCCGCAACGAGGCAGTAGCTTCGACGCACTCGCCTTCGCCTTCTCTCACCTCCCGCATCAACACTCGGATCCAGGAAGCGGGGTCATCTCGGCTCAACGAGACTCGCGGCGGCAAGGGTAGCAACCCCATCGATGCTACGACATGTGCATTGCAGGTGCCTGCGAATTGGCCGAGCGATGTGGTCTTTATCACGCAAAACTTGGTCGCGGCCTCGGTCCCAGACTCGATTGCCGAGCCATACGTCCTCCGACCAGCCACGGCCTCCTTGCGCGCCGATGAAGAGTCCGAGTCGTCCGAAGCAGTTCTGACACGCTCTCTGCCGCAGGCTACACACAACAATGGACGTGCACAGACGCTCTACGTCGATTCGATCCAGGACGAGGTGCCGGTGATCATTCATCCCATCGATAAAACGACGCCTTGGTGCCCGGAATCGTTCCACTCGACCAGCCGTCGGCTGAGCTTTCATCCCGCAGCTGGTTCGCATGGCCTGTTTGCGGGGCAAGACATCGAGGCCGATACGTTTGTACGCGCGTATCTTGGCGTGCTACATACAAAGCGGGATGCCGACTTTTACTCTACATACGACCTTAGCCTTTGCCACGATGACCGGCTCCTCGACAAGTCGCCCGATTCGGATGCTGCAGCGCTTGCAGACGCCGTTGAAGCCGTCAAGCTTGACGACGAGGACGAGAATCCCACGGCGCTGTATGTGGATAGCCGGTATTGGGGCAACGAGTCCCGTTTCATCAATGACTACCGCGGTATCGCAGACCGACCCAACGTCGAGTTTCGCTCCTTCATCCAGCTCGATACCGGCGATGGCCAAGCAAAATTCCAGATGGGTCTGTTCACGACAAGGCCCCTCCGAAAGGGTCAGGAACTCGTCGTCAACTACGGCAAGAGCTACTGGCTCCATCACGACCAACTCGCGCTGCAACAGGCTCAACCTGCTGCGCCCCAGCCAGTCAAGCAGGCTCCAAAAGCAACGGTGGATCCCATTCAGGCCATGCTCAACCGCAGTCGCATGCGCGTGTCTCGCACCGCAGCCCATCCACACCGTCCCCACCACCCGCCCACACCAGGATCGCAACAGTGAAGTCAATCGTCTATGTTCCAGTCTAGACTGTGCAGCTATAGTCCATACGAGTCGCTGAGCTTTTCCAGCTTGTTGTACATCAAAAAGATGATGGCGCTCGACGGTGCGCTGCGCAGACACGTCACACCACACCCGGCGTACAGCCCGCGAACGCCGCGGGTAGTGTAGATCTTCTTGAACGTGTCAAAGAAGCCGGTGCCCTTCCACTTCTGCCCCGCCACGGCGCCGTGCGATGCGGCGCGCATCTCCTGCTCGGTCTGCATGGTCGACTTGACACAGTCGGCGGGGAAGAGCACCACATTGTAGCTGATCCCCGCCAGCGCACCGGCACCCACGAGCTCGAGCGAGCTCAGGTCCTTCTTGGTGATATCGTTGCGGCGTTGCTGGGCGCGTTTGCGCGCGATCAGGGAGCGCGAACAGCCCTCAAAGGCGAGGAACCACGCGACGCCCCCACCCGTCTCGCGCAGCAAGGTACCCGTCTGCCCGAGCCACAGTCCGCGGATGCCGTCCGTAGCAACCGTGCGTCGCAGCAGCGTCAGTGGTCCATCGAGCGTCTTGAATGCCTGTGCTGACGCCTGCGATCCGCCCGCAGATGAGCGCACCGCACTCGTGTACAGCGACCGTTGCTGTTGCAACTGTGCGCCAGTCGTAGCCGCACCCGCCGCGTGCGAGCTTGAGCTGGCCAGAGGAGCTTGCTGCTCGCGTGTGATCATCTGCACCTGCATCTTGCACTTGATCAGCTCGATCGGCGTAAGCACCAGACTCGTCACCGACCCCGCGCCCGCGGCGGCGATGCCCAGCTGCGCCATGGACAGCGGCGCTTCTGCATCCGCCTGCGCCGCAGACGCCATGCTCGCCTCGCCGTTCGCCCAGCGGATCGCCGACTGGATCTGGTTGTACGTAAAGAACAGACACGCGTTCTCGAGCGTCGCGCCCAGCACTGGCATGCTCAGACCCCGGTACAGTCCACGAATGCCCTCCTGCAGGTACGTCTGCTTGAAGCAGTCAAACGCACCCGCGTAGCGCGGAGGCCTGTCCGCCGACTGCGTCTGCAGTCGCACCTTGACCAGGTCGAACGGATGCTCGAACACCTTGCTCACCATACCCGCAATCGATCCGAAGGCGATGTCCTTGGTAGCTTGGCTCAGGCGGCCCGACGATGGCGATGCGGAGGCCTCTTCGTTCGGCGAGTGAATCATGAACACCCGTGACGTCGTGGGCTGCCGGGGGCCTTGGGTCGCGCCCGTAGCCCGGCTCCAGCTCTCTTCCTGATGCTGTCGCGGCGAGTCGCCCTCGTCCATCGGCACCGAGACCGAATGGCGATGGCTGGACGAGGGCGGGCGCAGAAGCACAGCCGACATGGCGATCTCGAGTTCCGCAACCGAATCGTCACGCAGAGGCGAGGGCTGGTCAGATGGCAGCTTGGTCGGACTGCCGTCGCGCACGGTCTCGACCTCGAGCTTGTCGTCCGACGCAAAGGTGTGGTGCGAAGAGAGCGTTCCTGCCGATGCGCGCGCCGACTGGATCAGGCTGGTGCGCGACGAGCTGTCGGACGTCGTGCGACCTGCAGATGCCGACGAGGACGAGAAAGGTCGTCCGGAATTCGATCCGTCGGGCAAGGCCAAGGACCCACGGCGCGTGCGCAAAAGCGGGCTGGGAATGCTGTCAAAGGCCGAATGGGCGGCAGGCTCGATGGCGAGGCCGAAGGAGGGGCGCTTTCGATGGGCCAGCACAGATCCCGAGGAAAGCGGCCGCGGTGTAGGGCGCGTCGAGATGGGCGCAGCCGCAGCCAAGGTCGGTACAAAGACCGAAGAGTCGGTGGTGCGGACGTTGCTCAGCCCTTTGAGCGAAGAGGAGCGGTTCAGCGAGGGCGGATCGTCCAAGTGCGCAGAGATAGCAGCGAGAGAGGGCGACGAGCGGTGGTCAAGAGAGAAGCCTTCGCCTGTCGTAGGCCTGCTAGCTTGGCCGAGCGTGGGCTGACGAAGCGCCGAATTGGACGAGGTCGGTGCCAGCCTGTGCGACTGGAAGGACCGGTGCGAGCGATGCGAATGGTGCGAGTGGTGCGAAGAAGCCGACGACTCAGCTGTCGCTGCATGTGGAGTCAGGGCAACGCCAAGTGGGCCCGAGGGTGGCTCCCACTGCGACGGTTCCGAAAAGTTGGAAAGTGTTGAATCCACGCGCAGCCGCGAGCGAGCGCCTTCAAAATCCGACGGCCTTAGCGTCAGATCGGCGAGGCGATCGGGACTCAGATCGGTTGCATCGGTCGAGAAGGCCGACGTGGACACCGACATGGGTCGCGAGATGGCCATGGTCGACACACGCTTGCGGTGCGACGACGAAGAGCCGAGCGCCAGACCACCACCCATATGGGGCGAGCCCAGCAGGCTCGACCACGGCTTGCTGCCCACGAGGCTGTTGAGCGAGCGGCGACTTGCGTGGCCACGCTTTGCCGTGTCGGAAGATGACAGTGACGGAGGCGGCATCATGGACGAAGCGGTCTGAGCTGGCAGGCCACCCCGAGCTGAGGCAAGAGCGTACTGCGAGCCGGTCGACGAGCTTGGACGATGAAGTCCTCTTCCAGAATCGAACGCTCCCGGGCCCAGACCAGCCAAGTCGCCAGACAAGTGAAATCCAAGCGACGATCCGCTGGCGGGCGAGCCGGGCATGGCTTTGGAGTCACTTCGCGGGTCGCGCGACAGCGGCCTGTACGCCTGAGATTGGAACGAGAACGGCGTACGCTGTGCTCCAGCCGAGTCGGTGATGGCAGAGCTAGTGGAAGTAAAGGAGGAGCCCGAGGAGGAGACGCCACCCCTGTTGCTGTTGCCAGCCCCTGTGCCGTTGCTGGGCTGACCCGGTGTGTCCTGAGGCGGCGCCATCAGAGCATCCCTGTCATGCGGACGCTGTGGCCGCGAAGGAGCGTGAGTTGCCGCCTGTGAAGCCGACTGGTCCGCCATCGACGTCGCATCTTCCAGTACCTGTGATCGAGGAGCAGGCGAGCCGGACTGGTGCATATCGAAATGAGCGCGGTCCGGCAGACCGATCTCGGAAGGAAAGGAGGCGTACGTTGAGCGATGCTCCTCGACGGCTTCTTTCGTGCGGAGAATAGTCGGGCCTGCCGATCCTGTGAGCCGGCGGGCTTCTTCGTGCGAGATGTGTTCGATCACGCTTGTGCGACTTGCGCCGCGCGTGGTGGATTCGCGGCGAGGCCGGTGTGTGAGGACGTCGCGCAACGGTTTTGCGAGGCCATCGATGCTTTTTGTACGCGAGCGTGGCGAGGCTGGGTCAGCTGCCGATCGATCCTGCCCTGCTGCACTGTAAACAGGCGATGCAACCTTGCTCAGACCCCCGAAGCCCCGCAGAAGGTCAAGGCTGGGCGAACGACGAGCCAAATTCGGCGAAGCGCGCATGTTGTCGTCTTGGCCGTTGGATCGAGACGGGCTGTCCTCGACGTGCGTGCGCAGGCGCGGCAATGCATTGTCAGGGCCGAACGCATCGTCAGCTAAACCAAGCAGGTTGAGACCCCCGGGACTCGGAGCTCCGTCCATACTCAGAGCTCGTGATCGAAGCGTGGCAGACGCATCCGAGAAACGTGACGGCGCAAGGTTGGGTCCTCGAGAGACCACCTTGTCGGCAGAAGGGGCATCAGCGAATTGTTGGGGCGATGAGATCTCGAGGGGTGGAGCGGCACCCCTGGCCTCGCGCTCCCTTTTGCCCATCAGCCTGCGCAGGCCTGAGACGAGGCTGCTCTTGTTCTTGGTATGCTTGCGGACATCGGGAGCAGTCACGGTCGGCGACTCTGCGGCGACAGGTGTAGACGAGAATGTGGCATGTGCGGCGGTCGGGCTGGCGATGCTTGCGCTTTTCTTGGTGGGACTGCCAGGGACGCCCCTCATACTGGCGGTTGCCATGCGTTTGCCCCGCGGCGAGGCCGTACCGTGGTCGTCGGAATCACCCATGCCGAAATCTTGACCAGCGGGAAAGGGCTCGGTCGCGCGAGAGAAGCCTGAGGACTGCCGGGTCACTGATCCTTCTGGAGCGGTCGTTGGGCGCGTAGAGATGCTGCTACGGCTGCGGATCGACGCGTCTGGGCTCCTCGAGGCAGTTGCGAAGAAGTGGGATGCTTGCGCAAGGGGGCTGCCCACGACGCTGCGACTTGTGCGACGGTCAATGCCGACAATGGGAGGCGCGAGGGCGTCGCCAAAGTCGGATGTGGACGAAGAGGCGCGGGCGCGGCCTTCGGGATGGATCGCGCTTTCCTTCCAGGAGAATCCAGCTGCGGTGTAAGAGGATGCGCTGTGGATCGAGGGTGAGCGTGGATACTGCTCTGCGAGTGCCGATCGGGTCATGTCGGGGCCGGCGTATATGCTGTGCGAGAGACTGGGACTGGAACGGAGGCTTGAATGCGTGGTGCTCCTTCCGTTCGGGGACTGAAAGCCATGGGCAGTGGCGAAGTTGTCCGACATGAGCGGAGTGGAAGGACCGATGGGAGGCAGAAGCTGAGGCGAGGACGAGGCCGTGGAGGGGCGTCGAAAGGAGACGAGATCGTCTGCCCGCTTCTGTTCCGGCAGATCGGGTAGGACGGTGGCGGAGGCCATCCTGCGCATGGTACGAGGCCACGGCTTGGAGTAGCCGTGAACAGGACTTGCACCAGAGACATCCTCATTGGAGACCACGGGCGTGGATGTAGCCGAGGTTGCAGATGCTGCCGAGGAAGGGGTGGAGCTGGATGCGGACGACGGCTGCGGTTGCATGGATCTGCGAGAGTATGAGGAGTGGGAGGCATCTTCGAACGTGCGAGAGGACAGATGTATGGGGAGGCGGGATTGGTCGTGCTCGAGGACGGGTGCGAGCGAGTCGGAGCGATCGGGCGAAGCGAGCAAAAGCGGAGACGCGCGAGCGACCTCTTCGAGGAAGGCGGTATCGTTCTTGTCCCACATGCCGTCGTCGACGCTGTCGGCGTTGGCAGAGATGGAATCACGAGACTGGATGCTACTGAAGCGCTGGCGGATGCTGCCCCAGCGTGGCGTCCTGTTGAGCGAAGGCGAGCTGGGTGTCGGTGTTGGAGAAGTGGACGGGGCAGCAGCTATGGTGCTGCTGCCCTCGAGATCGGGCGACCTCATGATCATGAGGAGCGCTCGATGAGAAGCCTTGCGAGATTCGACGGCGCGAGGAGGGCGGTTGGAGGCGGATGCATGGGCGCGATTGCTGGATCAGCGAGGACGCGAGGTTGGCGCGGGCGAGGAGGCGTACCCTCTGCGAGATGGATGAAGGTGGTGACGGAAGGTATCTTCGAGTGTTGACCGCGCTGTTCGGGGGATGGATGGTCAGTCAGGCTGTTGGTTGAGTCGTCAAGGTCGTGCGCTATGCAGTTGGTGTTGGCCGACGGCAGAGACAGCTGCGGCTTCGAATCGGAGCAGGCTTCCGCAAAACTACCGCAAGCGGTCGGGCAAGAAGAGCGACCTAAAGCGCCGAGGGTCGAGACGCGCGAGGGCTTAGCTTGGCTGGGCTGAATTGGTGGCTTGGTTGAGAGCGGCGCGCTCACTTAGGCAAGCAAAGATGATGATGGTTGCCGCAGCAGCAGCAGCAGCAACAGCAACAGCA